TGCGACTGTGAAATCAGTGAGGTATGAGAGAGATGAAGGGTGTTTTTTGATGATTGTTTCTTTAATTTGTGTGGGTTTGCATTCTGTTGTGTGAGTATGTGCTTTCATTCATGTTTCCACTGCATTAATAACACATGTCCGTGGGTTTCAAAAGTTATGATCAAACTATCATGTCCGAGAAGGTTCTTTGCCCACTCAGTGAGTGTGTTCATTTGAACTGGATTTGATAAAATTTACGGTTTTTTCAGATCATTCAGATTGTGTTGTTTCATGTGACAGTTGGATGATTCAAACGCTATGCAATTTACTTCCCCCCCATGCTAGGTAGAAGATGCGATAGCCTAGTGTATGGGTCAAGTAACTAACATGCATTTCCATCATATTACGCATTCACATGATTGGTATGGTATATACAGGTATATACTACACATATAAATACAACATATGCATCATATTTAAGCATTATTATTTAATGTTCATCGTTATGCATGCATTCCAACTTTATTTATGCAAAACATAATATTTCTGCGTACGCATTACAGAATAAACAGCTGCATAACTTTCAATTACATCAGTCTTGCACTCTATTCATCCATACGAAGAGCGAGGGCAAATTAAAGAAGTTCAAGAAATATTGTACCATGTCAAGTGGTAAGCTGTCATGGCAAGTGAGTAGCAATCGTTTAGGCTATCGTGTACAAGCTTTTTTAGTTTATCTTTTATATACATTTATAGATGATGAAAAAAAATTGTTGTACATAACCTTTGTAATAGGTTGCTTAGCAACCCAAAAAATACCCCTACCAAGTTGACGAGAAGTGAGAATGGAATGAATGAACTATGAAACAGTTGGGAACAAGTACTAACCTTAATTGGGTTGTACCCCTTATAAGCTACCCCACTACAGCCTACACAAATGTATAAGCTATAATGTTCTGACACACCCACATAGGCAAAGTGGGGGAGAACAAGAGGTCACAAGACCAGTCAAGCAAAGCAAAGCAAAGCAAAGCTCAGGGTGGATCACAAAGTCACCACACAGTCCAAGCACAAGAGTAAGGCCACAAGGCCAGTTCACATGCAAGGTCATATATATAAAGGTAAAACAAGCAAGGGTAGGTATAGAAAGAAGACAATACAAACAAGATCAAGAAGTGAGCAAGTGAGGCCAGGTAGGCACAAGACCTAGCACAGTACAGAATTGCTAATGATCACAAGGCGGAAGGGCCTTGGTGAAGATATCAGCAGTGTTGGCCTCAGAGGCCACGTAGGTGAGGCGCAGCAGACCACGCTGCTGCAGCTCATGAGACAGGAAGTAGCGGAGAGCAATGTGCTTCGTTCTGTGCTCCAGTCTGTACTCCCGACACAAGGCCAGCATGGCCTTGTTGTCGACGTACAGAACTGGAGGAGAACGAGGCGGCTCTCCTAGGTCAGTCAACAGGTAGGTGAGCCAGCGTAGCTCCTGTGCAGCCATGGCCCCTACGTAGATCTCAGCCTCACAGCTCGAGCCGAGAACAGAGGACGAGCGGGTAGACCGCCACGAAACACTAGCCGGAGCCAAGGCTGAAGGTGTAACCCTGTGACGACCGCTGCGTAGCCTGGTCGTCAGCCCAAGAAGCGTTAGCGTGACCTGTGAGAGCTACTCGACGTCGCCCTCCAAGCACTAGCCCCATGCCCGACGTACTGCACACGTAGCGCAACACCCTCTTCGCTGCAGCCATGTGCTCTGGTCAGGTGTCTCCCAGGAGCAACATAGCGTGCCAAGATGCTAAGAGGGTATGCAAGGTCAGGTTGTGTGCAGGTCATCAGGTACATGAGGCAGCCAACAAGCTCTGGGTACGGGCCACTCGGCTCTACGGACTCATCCGAAGGCAGAGCTGAGAGCGAGTGGCGAGTAGACAGAGGAGTGGCCTGAGGCGAGGAGTACGTGAAGCCGAAGCGCTGAAGGACCTGCTGCACCATGTGTGAATGAGTCAGGGTAATGGTGCGCTGTGCTCTGTCCCGGGTGATCTGCAAGCCAAGGTAGCTGCACAGTTCACCCAGGTCTGTGCACGTGTGTCTCTTTTGCAGCTCGGACTTCACGTGGGCGAGTCTAGCAGTGTCAGCAGTGGCAAAGACCAAGTCGTCGACGTACACGAGGATGTAGAACGGCGGCAAAGAGGTGTTGGTGCGTAGAAACAGCGACGGGTCGGCTGTAGAAGGAGCAAACCCAAGAGCCGCAAGTGTAGTCCTCAGTGTGCCATGCCATTCACGGGGCGCCTGGCGGAGACCGTAAACTGGCTGCCGGAGGCTCCACTGGGTGCCAAGAGGAAACAACCCTGTGAAGCCTGGAGGGCGGCGCAGCCAGATCTCCTCGTGCAGGCTGCCCTGCAGGAAAGCAATGCTGAAGTCAAGAGAGTGAAGCTCGTAGTCACGCTGAGCGGCTATGTGCAGCAGCACCCGAAGGGTGGTCATCTTCGGGGTGGGAGAGAAGGTATGAAAGTTGTCAACTCCCTGCCGCTGACTGAAGCCTCGAGCCACGTAACGCGCCTTGAAGACAGGCGGAGAGCCCGGCGGCCGCTTCACCCTGAAGATCCACATCCCACTGACGATGTTCGCCCCAGGTGGGGGAACCTCGTCGACGTAGGTGCGTGTGGACTTTCAGGAAGCCATCTCTACGTCCATGGCCGACTGCCACTGTGAGGAGTAGGGACCCTCGATCGCCTCAGCGTACGATTGAGGAGTCGGGATGTCTGGTGCATCCGGGTCTCCTTCAGGGGCAATCAGCGTGGACACGAGATGGGGCAAAGCAGCCGCAAAGCACTGGAACTCCTCCTACCTGTCCTCAAGGACGTTCGTGCTAAGAGCACACTCACCCCCGACGGACGGAGGACAGATAGACTCAGACTCAGCAACAAGAATGGCAGCGTAGTCTAGACGACAGCGAGCAGCGAAGTCGACAAGCTCAGTAACGAGAGCAGACGCAGCAGCAGACTCAAAGGAAGGGTCAGTGAAGACAGTAGCAAGTAGGCGCGTGATAGAAGGACTAGCAGCACGAAGGGAGTCAGACTCCCGGTCAGCAAGAGAAGGAAGAGAGGACTCTGGAGGAGACGGCAACGGGACACGAAGAGGAGCAGTGGAAGGACGGAGTGCCATCTGGTGTGTGCCGGGGACCGCAGGAGGACGCGGACGTGCAGTACGACCACTAGTGCGAGCAGCACGAACAGGTGACGCGGGACGAGACGCAGGCTCACGATGCTCAGCAAGACCTCCAGTAGGACCAGTGTAGGAAGAAGGAGCAGGTAGAGGGGAGGCGGACGGTAACTGTGACTGTGACTGGACAGGCGGTGGACACTCTAGGGGAGAAGAAGGACCAGTAGAGGGCAGGAGACCAAGAACCTGCTCCAGGAGCGGAACGAAGATCGGCCTCGGCCGCTCAGCGCCTCTTGAACCAGCAAGTACGGCACCTGTACCCCCAGCGGCAGCACCTGCGCCATCAGAACCTCCAGCTCCAACAACGCCAACTCCAGTACCCTCAGAAGCACCCGCGCCAGCAGCACCGCCAGCGCCAACACCCCCAGCAGCTCCAGCTCCAGCAGCACCAACTCGAGTAGGACCGTCAGCACAAGCTGCCTCAGCAGCACCCCCAGACGCACCAGCACCAGTAGAAACACTAGCGCCAACACCATCAGCAGCTCCAGCTCCAGCTGCACCAACTCCAGTAGGACCGTCAGCACCAGCTGCCTTAGCAGCACCCCCAGACGCACTAGCACCAGGTAGAAACACCAGCGCCAACACCCCCAGACTCAGCAGCACGTCTCCAGCGGCGGGCGAACCACACGCGCAGCTCCTGTGGAGAGAGCGGCTCCCGCCTCGACGAAGTACCGTCAGCGGCCACACGAGCAGACCCAGCACCCCCAGGCTCCGCACCCCCTAGACTCAGCTCCCCTAGGCTCAGCACCTCCAGTCTCAGCACCCCCATACTCAGCACCCCCAGACCCTGGCACCCGCAGACCCGGCACCCGCAGGCTCAGCACCTCTAGCAGCACCAGAGTCTACAGCTACCTCAACAGGCTCGACTGCGTCTACCTGGGACACACCTGAAGGGGCAGGACCCTGAGGAGGGAGGGGGTCTACCTGAGTAGCACCTAGCGCAAGGAAGAGCGGCGGCGGGGGGAGGGGCGCAGTGCGGTAGGGGAAGAGACGTTAGTAAGGCACCGACTCGTCAAAGGTGACGTCCTGGGAGGACAGAACACGGCGCGTGGTGGGGTGGTAAAACTGCCAGCCACGCGCGTCAGGGGGGAAGCCAAGGAAGACGCAAGGAACAGCACGGGGGGACAGCTTGTCCGCAGACAAGTCGCGGACAAACGCCCGAGATCCCCAGACACGGAACGCAGACGCATCGCCAACCTTCCCTGTCCACCGCAAGGCGGGGGAGGTCTCTGGCAAGGAGACCCGGGGCTGAAGGTTGAGCTGATGCGCCGCGTACTGAACCGCAAACGGCCACAGAAAATGGGGGGCAGCCGCATAGATCATGAACGTACGCGCGACGTCCATGACCATGCCAATGCGGCGCTCGGCAATCCCATTTTGCTGTGGAGAGGCCGAAAGCGTGAAGGTCTGGCGAATGCCCTGTGCCCGACAGAAGGCTCCCAGACGGGCAGAGGAAAACTCCCCTCCTCTGTCCGAGTGCAGACGCAAAATAGGAAAGTCCGAGCCTTAAGTCTCAATGAGCTGGAGATGAGCTGCGCGGATCTAGTCAATCAACACCTCAGTGACGTCACCGTTGCTGCGCAAGGGGAAGACTGTGGTGTAACGCGAGTAGTCGTCAACGACCAGCAGAAAGTACCGCTCTCTCCCCTGCCCACGGACGCGGGCTGGGCCCCACACGTCTATGTGTAGAGTCTGCAGCGGAGCCTCTGTCGGAGGAAACTTGGAGGAGTGAGGGGCGGCGCGCTGTCACCCCTCGACGCAAGGGACGCAGGTAGGGCCTGGCCCTCGATCCTGTAGGTCCTCTCCACTCACCATGTTCGTAGAGAACGAGGGGAAGTAGAGACCAGAGAGGTTGCCAGAGGGGGCTGCAGGGCACGGAAGGACTTTGGAGAAGCTAGCAAGGACAGGTTCCCAGAGGGGTCCGCCAGGGAGACTGCAACCGGCCGACTAAGCGGCGTAAGAGTGGTGCGGTCTCGAAAGAAGGAGCGGGACGCACCCGAGTCCAGGGTGAAGGTGTGGAAGGCCTGAGCCGACGTAGTACCTGAGAGAGCAGACTCACCAGCACTTGAGGCGGCAAACGCACTAGCACCTAGAGCAGCAGTCTCACCAGCACCTAGCGCAGCAGCCTTAATGCCCGGGTCAGGCGGTACACACAGGTAACAGGCACCCTCAACACTATCAGCAACTGCATACATGGCAGCAAGAATAGCATCAGAGTCAAGATCAAAGATAGCAACCCCGGCCTTAGCCAGATCTCCCCAGCGAGGGATCTCTGACGCCTCAGGGAACTGGCGACGCCACGCGTCCGTCAGGCGACCAAAGCAGCGCTGGGTGGAGTGCGGACCCCCGCACTGCTCACCAGTGCGGTCGCTGGTACGAAGAACGTAAGAGCAGGGACCAAAACCCCCACCGCGCTGGCGTGCCGTGTACCACTCCCGAAGCTGCTGAGGGGACAGGGTCACACCACTCCGCTGCTGCTGCTGGCGTTGACCACCACCGACGCCACTCCTCGGCGCAGAGTCGCGACTCACTCCACTACCGCCGCCTCCGCCGCCACCGCCGCCTCCGCCGCCTCCGCCGCCTCCTCCACCTCCGCCTCCTCCACTACCTCCGCTGCCTCCGCTCCATCCGCCACCCCCACCGCCTCCGCCGCCTCCACTGCTGCCGCCGCTGCCGCCACCCCCAGCACCACTCCCACCACCACCCCCACTCCCTCCACCGCCTCCACCACTACCTCCACCGCCCCCTCCACCCCCTCCGGTGCCCTTGCCCCCCTTGCCCTTGCCGGTGCGGCGTCTCCCGCTCGGGGCAGACGCAGCGCCGACCGACTCGAAAACAACGAGGTCGGCCGCAGCAGCAGAGTCAACAGAGGGCAAGAGGGGGGAGGGAGAACACCCCTCAAAGATGCGGGTGCGAGGGTCACCACAAGAGCCTCCTACAGCGACTATGCTCTTCTCTATCGCTAGGAGGGCCTTCTCGAGGAGGTCAACGGTGAGAGTGGTGGGGCAAATAGAGAGGAAGTGGTCCCTGACTACACGGAGAGAGTCAGGGAGACGGGTGACTATGTAGTAGAGGGTGATGTGCATGGGGGGGGGGTTCTTGGCGCAGAACTCAGCAGAAAGCGCAGCGCGGTAGCGAGTGTCACTAGTACGGAGTTGCGTAATGAGGTCAGCGACTGTGGGAATGGCAGCAAGGTCAGGGAAGAGGTACGGTGGCATGAGGCGGCTGAGTGCAGCAGTGGCAGGGGAAGAGTAGCGTGCAACTACAGCGTCGTACAAGGTCCGAGCACTCTTGTACTGGCTAAAGTGTGCACGATTAGTGGTCGGTAAGTGGCGGCGTACAGCAAGGCGAGCAGTAGCATCACGTGTGGCCCACTGTGAGCGAACAGTGGCGTCAGCATCAGCAGCAAGGGCAGGGAAGGCACCAGAAGTGAGGTCAAACAGGGAGAGGCCGTCTGCCCTATCGCAGTGCAGGAAAATTGCAGATCATCTACCCAGACCTCAAAGTCCACTGCCCGACCCTCAGCGTCAAAGGTGAGAACGCTAGGGGAAGCCATAACAGCAGTAGGCAGGGCAGTGCAGTGGCAGAGATTGTGTTCTTACTAGGTAGGTGGAGCGATCGGGCTGCTCGGCGGCTCGGCTGTCGGGCGACTCGGCTGCAGGGCGGCTCGGCTGCTAGGCGGCTCGGCTGCTGGGCGGCTCGGCTGCACGGTGCTGGGCGGCTCGGCTGCACGGTGCTGGGCGGCTCGGCTGTCGGGCGGCTCGGCTGCTGGGCGGCTCGGCTGCTGGGCGGCTCGGCTTTACGGTGCTGGGCGGCTCGGCTGTCGGGCGGCTCGGCTGCTGGGCGGCTCGGGAGGTCGGGCGGCTCAGGTGGCCAGCGGTTCGGCTGCTCGGCGTTGCGGGCGCTAGGAGGCGGGGTCACTGGTGGTGGCGAGGTCGCAAGTGGCGGCGGGCCGCAAGGGTGGGCGGGGCCGCGGTGGCGACGGGGCCGAAGTGGGGCCTAAGTGGGGCCGTAGAGGGGCCGACGGGGGCGAAGCGGGGCCGCGATGGGGCCGTAGCTGGGCCGTAGCGGGGCCGACGGGGCCGAAGCGAGGCCTGAGCGGGGCCGCGACGGGGCCGACGGGGCCTAAGCAGGGCCGACGGGGCCAACGCGGCCGTAGCGGGGCCGTAGCGGGGCCGTAGCGGGGCTTAAGCGGGGCCGACGGGGCCGTAGCGGGGCCGTAGCGGGGCCTAAGCGGGGCCGACGGGGCCGTAGTGGGGCCTACGCGGGGCTGTAGCGGGGCCGTAGCGGGGCCGACGGGGCCGACGGGGCCGTAGTGGGGCCGTAGCGGGGCCGTAGCGCGGCCTAAGCGGGGCCGACGGGGCCGTAGCGGGGCCGTAGCGGGGCCTAAGCGGGGCCGTAGCGGGGCCGACAGGGCCTAAGCGGCGCCGTAGCGGGGCCGACGGGGCCGACCGGGCCGTAGCGGGGCCGTAGCCGGGCCTAAGCGGGGCTGACGGGGCCGTAGTGGGGCCGTAGCGGGGCCGTAGCGGGGCCTAAGCGGGGCCGACGGGGTCGTAGTGGTGCCGTAGCGGGGCCGTAGCGGGGCCTAAGCGGGGCCGTAGCGGGGCCGACGGGGCCTAAGCGGGGCAGTAGCGGGGCCGTAGCGGCCTAAGCGAGGCCGTAGAGGGCGGCTCGAGGGGCAGTAAGGGCGGCCAATAGGGGCCACTAAGGCGGCTCGAGGCGCTACTCGGGTTAGAAGCTAAGCGCGCTCCGGGCAGGGAAGGAAAAAAAAAAGTTCGTGGTCGTCCCTAGGCAATATTCCCACTCGGGAACCTGCTTCGATACCATGACGAGAAGTGAGAATGGAATGAATGAACTATGAAACAGTTGGGTACAAGTACTAACCCTAATTGGGTTGTACCCCTTATGGGCTACCCCACTACAGCCTACACAAATGTATAAGCTATAATGTTCTGACACAAGTTCCCTCGAACGTGCTCGAAGTGAAGACTCTCGGGAGTTGTGTCTGTTTGGGTCTTTTACTTTTGGTTCCGAACTCCTTCCAAGCAAGCCACGCGTCCCTTCCAGCTTAAAGTTGGCGAAACAAAGCGAACACCTGTGTCAGACGATTACAATATAGCCCCATTTTGCCGCTCAATCGAATTGGATTGCTTCGCACGAATTGATTGGTTTAGAGATTCTGTCTGAAATGTTTGAATGTGGCGAGATGTTTTGTAGCAGCAAGCAGAAGTGAACCTCTGTGTCGGTGGTTATTGATTGCACATATCGCCAATACGCCTTATCTATCGATCGCAATCAGTTGCAATTGATGGCATCAGATCGAGGAAATCGATCACAATCGATCGAGATCTCGATTGCGATCGATAGATTGCCCCAGATTGGCCCAAAGTACCCCCTGGACCTTCTCAAAAATTGTAGATGGCGTAGATCGAGGCAATCAGCCTCATATCGCCCCGATTTGCACCACGTCCTAAAGGAACAATCCGCAATCTGGATTTCCAGAAACGTTCAAACCTCGATTGGATTTTCTGTGCATGCAATCGCACCTTGCATGGAAACGGCGCTGACGATCAAGCCTCATCGTCACTAGCTAGGCGTAGGAAAAAGCATTTTGCCCCATGTGCCCATCATGCTCGCAATCTAGCGCGTTATCTTGAAGGTTGACTAGAGCTCATCGTTATAATGCCTGCCGCGTGTGGGGTCCAAGGAAGGTACGTGCACCGCCTGCCGCGTGTGGGGTCCAAGGAAGGTACGTGCACCGTCTGCCGCGTGTGGGGTCCAAGGAAGGTACGTACACCGCATGCCGCGTGTGGGGTCCAACGAAGGTACGTGCACCGCCTGCCACGTGTGGGGTCCAAAGAAGGTTCATGCACCGCCAAAACTCTTCACCTCCCCAAACCGCACGCCTATCTTCGCCTCATTTTCCGCCTTCCAATCCATGTACATCAAGTTTTCCATAAACTTGCAGTCCCTGCTCATCAAGAACTTCTTGGTGAATGGGTCCTAAAGAAGCCATCCCTTGCTTCTTTGAGCCATGCCCAAGTGCACAGCCCATATCGCCTTGGCACCAAGCTTGTTGTGCCGAAGATGCTTAGGCACGAGCGATCTCCTGAAGCATATCCACCTTTGTCTTCCTTCCAATCCCCTTCACATAGGGCACCCTTTTGTCTGCTCCCACATGAGTCAAGGCTCTGTTCTTGGCCACACACGCACTCCTCACCGCATCAGGCCAGAAATGGTCAGGTAGCCCGGCTTCAATGAGCAACCCGCGTGCCGTCTCCGTGATTGTCTGGTTTGCTCGCTCGGCGATGCTGTTCATTGCAAGGGAGTATGGGATGGTAAGGGAGTGCGTCATGCCATTCTTCTTCAGCAACAATGAGAACTTCTTGCTCAGGAACTTTCCCCCTCGATCAGTGCAAATTGCTTTCTCTAACCGGTCTTGTTGTCATTCCACCATCGACAACCAATCGATCTTTACCATTTCAGCTACGTTGCTCTTCTTGGACCGCACATACACCCATGTCATACGGGTCCATGTTGTCAATATCATGCAAGCATGGGCCAGACATGTCATGAAGGGTCAGCACATGGAAGCATGGGCCAGACATGTCATGAAGGGTCAGCCCATGCAGGCATGGCAACAAATGTCTTGAAGGGTGAGCCCATGCAAGCATGGGCCAGACATGTCGTGAAAGGTCAGCCCATGAAAGCATGGGCCAGACATGTCATGAAAGGCCAGCCCATGCAAGCATGGGCCAGACATGTCATGAAAGGTTAACCCATGCAAGCATGGGCCAGACATGTCATGAAAGGCCAGCCCATGCAAGCATGGGCCAGACATGGCATGAAAGGCCAGCCCATGCAAGCATGGGCCAGACATGTCATGAAAGGTCAGCCCATGCAAGCATGGGCCAGACATGTCATGAAAGGTCAGCCCATGCAAGCATGGACCAGACATGTCATGTAAGGCCAGCCCATGCAAGCATGGGCCACTCTTCCCATACAAGGCCAGCCCATGCAAGCATAGGCGCCTCTTCCCATACAAGGTTTGCATGCCAGAATGGGCCACTCATAACAAACGTGTGTGTCCGATCTGCATGACCTTAGCTGCATGGTCCCTCTTTGTGCTATGCAGATCACTTCCCTTCCACTATCTTTCCTTTCTGGGGACATGTACATGGTGGTGCTTTGCAGGGACTGGTTGTAGACGTCATTCACGCCATCCTAACATATGAGCATGTGGCCTACCGAAGCGGTGCTGGAGCAAGCATTCATGGAATCACCTCTCTTGAATTCAGATGTCACGCGTGCCAACATTCACATTGCATTGCGTAACGACCCACATCATCGTCGGTTCTTGAAAAGGAAGCTAGCTAAACTCCGTGCTGATACACTAGACGAAGACGGTACATGGGTCTTCATCTTCTTCAAGCTCACCTTCGACGTCCCCCAGTTTTCCCGTTCTCAGCAGCAGCCAATCCAGGGCAGTGCCAAAACCTTTGATGAGTTCCTCACTGATTTTTCCGAAGGTGGGGCGTTGCCAACGAAACTACTACCATAGCTGTACAATGCTTCGTTCTTCCCTTACAGTGGCTCTGTGCTTGAATCTCCCTTTTGCAGATGACACCAGCCATGGTAACCTCTCATGGATCCGATACCCCCACCAGGGGGGCCTTCCTTCCTTGCACCCTGACTTTGAGGATGCATTGTTCGAGTCTTTCTTCAAATTCAAGCCGCAACCCGCTGTTGTCAAGCTCTACCATGTTGTCTATTTCTTGATGGGGCTAAGTTGGCTTCGAGTGTGGGCAATATCAGGCCCGTGGGTGATTCAGTCCAGGGCATACCGCCAAAGGAGTGGGGCAAAGGCCATCCAAGGTGTTTGCTCACACACCCATGCAATGATTACCCCCCTTCTCCTTCTCCTCTCGGTTTTTTTCCCCACAAGCCCTCTTATCCTAGCTTCCTTTCCCACATTCCAGGCCTGTTTGTCATTCAGTTCAGGGCATTCCCAAGAGGTAGTGGGGCAAAGGCAATCCCAGTTTGTCCCAACGGCTGACTTTCTTACACGCACAGGCAATCATAACCCCCCTTCCCCCTCTCCCCTCCGTTTTTTCCTGCCAAGCCTCCCATCTTAGGTTCTTTGCTTGCTCCCCTAGCCCTGTGGGTGACATAGCCTCATAAACGTTGCGAACTTCAATTATGTCCACCACGTGTTTATGGGGTCCTTTTGTGCCTGCCTTGTCATCCACTAGGTCGAGCACCGTATTAAGAATAACGGTGCTGATGTGTCGCACGGTCCTGGCATCAACAGCAGGAAGGTTGCAGATTATTTGCGGAAGGTGACGGCATGGTGCAGGGCTGCCATCATGGCTCCCTCAGTCAACAGGAGCAACTGGTGGTACAAGGCCGGTAAAAGGGCATGGGCCTTCTCTCAGTCCGGAAAGAATGTCATCTCCATCGACGGAATTGAAGGCACAGAGGGCATCACCGCTTCGCACAGCCTGTGCCTGTCCCGCCCACACAGCCTCTGCCTGTCCCGGTCGCACAGCTGTGCCT